GGTGATTAAAAAATTAAGTATGAGAAAGTGATGAAACGAATAACTGGAAGTGAGAACTACACTAGGTATAAACAATGATAGTTCTTTGGATGCTTTATGTGTTGAACCGTTTTATTCTAGTGCTATTAAAAATTAACCCTAAGGAATTACATAGTTTACAATTCAAAGTTCAAAGTTCAATTTATAATATCACCATAATATCCGGTAAATTATTCAAGTCAAGAATATAATTAATTAATTAAACGTATCACACAAGATTTAACATGGTCAAATATAATGCTAATTAGGTCCAGGTGAATGTCTTTTGACAGTAATTAAACAAGTCTTGTCTATGTACGGTACTCACAACTGAATTTGGTTAGGCGTCTGATCTTTTGTTGAAAAATTGAATAACTTACTTTCTTATACAATACTGCCATAATGTTATAAACTTCACATCTTTATCACGGTTTCTTTTGATTTTCTTTAGACATATGTAAAATTTAAATTGATTCACCTTGTTTACCAAAGGCTGGATGTACCCAAGCCAAGGAGGTATTAAATAAAAGAATTATTATAATACCTCCTTGATGTACGGTACCCAAATTTTAATTAGGTCATCATCATTAACATTGCATTATTACCATGCCTATAAGATAATTTAGCAAATAGTTGAAGAACTTCCTGTTGCATAAAGAAAACAGAACACACTATTTTCTCTATGATCAGAGTGCTCGAGGAACAAGTTAGCGCTATGGTTTATTACAATCATACTACCCCATTGTTCTATCAAAAATTACTTATTTTCTCACCTTTCTGATTTTCACCTACGATAATTATCAAATAATTATTTTTTTGAAAATATTATTTGATGTTCTCTGAAATAAAACCTTTGTTCCAAAGTCACTAATGCCCTCGTTTATTACCAGCTTCCTGCTCTATATTTTCGTGTAACTCTATGATTACTGGTCAAGAGACTTGACATTGGTGTTTCAAATTATCTAGAAAGTATGCCTGTATTTTATATAATATTTCTAATCTAGAGATGTTATGACAAAAAATGATCGGATCTCAAACATATTATGACCCATGTTGCCTGTAACTACCGATCATCGGGATCATCTTCTATAGTTAAGTTTAAACATCTGAAACATCCTTTGGTCCTATATGGAACAAATATCACAAGTATAAATATGTGGTTCAATATGAAGCAATGGTTTATAAGTATATATGATAAGTATTGTGTTAATTATCCTTTCAAACTTAGTCACGGAGTGCTATCTTATTAATAATTTCTTAATGTTGTTATAAGAAGAAGGCAAAATATATAACTTAGGGTATCCCAATTTTAGCCCCACCTCAACATCTTACCTTAATAGCTTCAGAAAAATGTTATTAGGTTCATCATCAATGACTATATCATCACATTAAAATGTTATATGACCAGGATAATGACCAATAATATAAGGTCAAAGCTCAATTGTAGCATGTTTTTTGCGGAAAATGTTCGATAAGGTAAACTTAAATATTCATATTTCACACCTACAATTTGAAAAAAAAATTGTTAGGATATAAGACCCTATATTTTCATTCTTAATTTGCATATTTTAGAGCGAATTTGCATATAAATGTGATTATAATGTGACTATAGATTTTTATTTTATTTTGAAGTTTTGTAAATGAAGTTTCTACGGACATACGTCGCAGAGACGCAATCAGTGAATATAAGGTCAAATGTCAATTGTATCATTTCCGACCATTTTGGTAACAGGTGTTCTACTAGAGCCAATATAAACAAATATTCCGTACAATTTGAAAAAAGCAACTCTCTGTGACCAGATATTGTCAAGACATAGGAACCTTATTTTTTCATTCCTAATTTGCATATTTTAGAGCTAATTTGCATATGAACAGAACATGGTGTGATAGATTTCCATCCTTATTAATATATTGAAAAGAAGCATGTATTTAAATTATTTAAGATCTAAACCAAGATACACGAAAGAATTCTACGGAAAGTAGTTAAAAGAGATATTTAAATTCGGTGATTATAAGGTCAAAGGTCAATTTTATCATTTCCGGTGATTTTTGTGGAAAATGTTCCATTACACCAAATAGAAACATGCATATTCCGCACAATCTGAAAAAGAAAGTAACTCTCTGTGACTAGCCATTGCCAAGATATGGGAACCCTTTACTTTCTTTTCTAATTTGCATATTTTAGAGCTAATTTGCATATGAACACTACATTTGATCATGGTGTGATTATAGATTTCCATCCCTTTGATTAATATATTGGAAATAATCATGTATTTGAATGATTTAAGACCTAAATTAAGATTCTATATACATTAATTGCAGAGATATGCAAATTCAGTTAATATAAGTTCAGGGGTCAATTGTAGTATTTCCGTTAATTTTTTTGGGTAAATGTTCCATTAGAGAAAATAGAAACATGCATTTTAAAAAGAAACCAACTCCCTGCGACCAGCGGTTGCCAAGATATGAGACCCCTATATTTTCAACCTAATTTGCATATTTTAGCTAATTTGCATATGTTCCCGAGGTGTGACCAAGGTTTAATTTGTGGAATTTCATCCCCTCATCATATGTACTTGATTAAAAAAGAAAAACCTTTGTTTGCAATTTGTTTGACTTTTGGCTCTTTTTTGAGCTACTGTAGATTGCCTAGCCTAGTCCCTTTTTTGACAAATTTGATTAAGTATAACCACTAAGATCCTTGTCTTGTTTTTGGAATGTTTTGTTACTTCATAAGTTCATGTATTTTAGCCGTGAGGCTGCGATTTGTATGAAGTTGTGAATAAATAATAAAGTAGGCCTAATTATACCACCCCGCATACTACATACTGTATCTACTGCAATGGATAAATAAAATAGAAAAAACCACAGAGTCCCTGACATTGTATTTTATTCATCATATTTTTCTTTCATCCTCATTTATTCTGACAAATATTATATGATTGTATAATGATTTTTATATTGTATTTGCAGGGTGTTATTGGCGTCCACACTGTTGGATGAAATTAAATAAAAGTAAATAAATACCGTATTTACTGTATTCGAATAAAACGCCCCGCTTTGAATAAACGCCCCTTTCTCCACATTTGGAACAAACGCCTTTCTCGAATAAACGCCTTTCTCGAATAAAAGTGAGTTTATTGGCGTGTACATGTATTCATCTTACATTTAAAAAAAAAAACCTCCCTCGAATAAACGCTCCTTCAAATTCCTTCTCAACAATAAACGCCCCGGGGCGTTTACAGTATTCGAATAAAACTTAATACGGATATCCACATAACACGCACAACAGAATTAAAGCGTTACCATTGCGCATACCGGTTAGGCCTATCACCATTTTCTTACAATTTAAAGTAAAGTATGTATATTTATGGTTCGTAAGCTACTCTAATTTTCATTCCATTATGATTATTATATTGCAGTTGAGAAGTCATCCGTATTCTTAGATGATATGCGAATCCTTTTTCACATCCAAATATGGAAATATTCCGAAAAGTTTCTGAAAAAAATAAGCAAATAAAGTAGCGTATAAATACAATTAAAACACACATTTGTCAATGGTACGTACGTGTATCTGAAAATGGGGTGAGAGGCAGGAGAACGGGGTATGGACAGCTAATACATAAACATATATGTTTTTTCGTTTACAAAGAACTTTACCTTTAAAGACGGCTTGTGTCTTAGGAACTTGCTTCTTAAGTCGTAACTGTAAAACATACAAAAACAATTTAATAGGGCCTACCAATTTGTGAAAAATAGACCTGTGTTGATCAGCATATAAAGCTGTTCAAATAGGATATTGCTTTTTAATCAAATACCTGACATGACATATTTATTTATTTTAACAATATTTTACGAGGGTGGTCCATCCGGCCGGAGTTGATCATTAGGGACCCTCAATACATAACACAAGTAAAAAAGGAAATATAAATAAATTAACTATAAAGTAGACTTATTTCAGACATATACTTACATGAACACTGCATGAAATGCTGTGCCTAGACCAGAGAATACGTGCCACCACGCGTGTAATTGCAGTAACGGTTGCGCGTAATTTGGCAGGAAGCCCCGGATTTCACTGTTGGAATAAAATAAAGACGCACGCTAACAATAACTACAGATTATACATTTATGAACTGAAATAATATCCGATATATGGGATTAGTCTAGGAATGGTGTATTACCGTAATTCTGGACAGAAGAAACGGTCGGTTACCCAACACAATCCGGCAATAATAAAGAACATAAGAGCGAGTAGCAAATAGCTTGTGTTACAGCGATGATGTCTGAAAATGAATAAATCATGGAAGACAAAATTAAAACACTGTATTATGTGTCAACCAAAGTATATCCATCAACAACCCATCTTTATTTATACTAGCGTTTCAACAACGATTTGATTTAATATTTTTTTCTGTCCACACTATACATTTGTATTTGACAAATTGGTGTGATGTACCCATATATGGTCATGGTTATGTCATATTACACCCAAATATGGGCATATTAGATTTATTTCTCACATTATATTTCAAGCAAAGGGTTACATTAAAGACGTCAAATAAAGCAAACCATTTACTTATATAATACTTCCACCTGATTTTTTGTACAGATAGATAAGTTATTGTCATAAAAATACAAGGAACTAGGAAATTTTCCTTCCTTATTTGAAATTTAGGCCACTAAAAAATATATATAATATATATATAATATATATATTAAATGCCACACGTAAATAAACAATCCTAAACTGCACGGCGAGTCGAATGGCCGATGCAACGTACAGCCATAATATCGGCGCTGGTTCGAACGTCTGGTTCAGGTGGTGGAAAACTACAAACCGGAGGTCCAGTATACACAACTTGCCCCATGTGTACTTTAAAATACCCAAGCGCTATATAGGCTCAAATCGAACTACATTACATGAAATCCACTTTCAACAAACATTATCTTAATTTCCTTTTTCCATCAAACACAGTTCTGTCACACAAACGCACGTGTTTACGTTCATTTACGCAATTGTTTTGTGGGACTTTAGCGACAATATCAAAAGGGGGAGGTCAAACGGAAAGTTCACCAACCTTGCAGAATGTATTGACAGCACAACTACTACCATCAGGTTAATGAAAAATGACGTCTGAAATAAAGCCAAGTAAAATCTAGTGGTTTTTTGTGTGTGTGTGTGTGTTTTTTTTTAACACTGGAAACAAAGTATAAAATTCATGGCAGCAAAAACAATCATCATAATTTTTTGAAATCAATGATTGAATTCCATAAATGTTTAATGTTAGTGAAGCACGGCATGTAAAGGTAAATGATTGTAAATCGTCTTACCCTAAATAAAAATGGAGTCGGACTGACAATGGTTACTATAGTAATGACTACTGATCCAAGAAACAACACTGACGGTAACAAAATAGTCTTGCTATGCTGCGGTGATTGTGTTTCAATTCTAAGAAAAATAATAATGTTGTTAGAAAATTAGGTCTTACGTGGAAAGTGGCAATCAGTATTATTTATATGATGCACTTATTATTTACTTATTTATTTGTTTAAGTTCATGCAAATGAAGTAATATGTTATATTATGCTATTTTTGGATATTTTAAAAACTAATATATATA